TTTAACGAAAAAGGCGCCCACCTTCATCCGGTCTTAAATCATTATTTTGCCCACTTTCTGTCACGTTGTACAAATGAGACAGGGGCTGACTTTTCTTTCAACTAAGAACTCTCGTTCAGTTTTAAGACGAAAAAAACCCTGAACCAATTCCTTATAATAGGCTATTAATTAATACGCCCCCACCCCCATCCCCATTCCACCCAACCTTTTAGCCCACCAGTCTCTGACCATACCCTTAACGACTAAGTAGTCTTGTAGTATGGTGTTGCTGTCGTTGCGACGAGATCATCACATTATACACAACATTTTGTCTAGCTGTTAAGGGAAGGTGCTATGTACGGAGTATACAAAGTTTTGAGTCATCACTGAGCTCAGTGTTTTCGTTGGAAATAGTGAGGGGTTTGAAGGAAATGAGGTCTTTATCCGTGGCCAACCGAGAAGATTGGTGTGTAACGGTTGTTTTTTTTACTCACTATATTCTTTAAAAAATTTCCTGATTCTGTCGTTGACAAGTTGTGTTCAATTAATGTTGCATGCTGTCTTCACAACCATTTTGCAGCATTTTACCAACACAAATAAGCATAACTTAGAAAATTTCACGACATGGGTATTGATCTACACGCTCTTATACTACCTGAGGTTTTCGGTATTGGTCTTCCTTTCTACCAACATAAGAGAGTTGTTGTGTGTCTGGACTGTGGATGTTTATGTTTGTACATGTCTGGGTGTGAGCGTGAGCTTGCTGGGTTCAATGAGTGGGCCGTGTTGTTGGGTTCAAATAATATTTCCCGACTGGAATAATTTATATTAGCAGAAGGGGGGTTGAAACAAAAACAAAAACCCCAACCCATTGATACGCTAATGCTCACAATTCATATTATTGTGCATCTGTTTACGTGGGCACAGGTGTGAGCAACATTAATGTTTTGAAGGGACAACGTGAGAGACCACAGGTAAGACGATGTGAAAAGCCACGCAAAAGACCACGTGATAACGAACTGTATGGTTCTGCAAAATCAGCACATCAGACTGGAAGACTGGCTGCTGACAAAAACCGTTATTTATGAGCTTACTCTATCCGTGTATAGATTTTTTCCCACTCCTGGATATTGTAGGAAGTATAAACAAGGATCCAGTCTCTTTTCATCTTCGGTAACACTATGCTAATGTGACTAAGCTGGGGCGGGG